TCGATGATAAAATTGCGTCTTTCATGGCTTTAAGCTCAGATTTCCTCTCTTGGGAGAAAGAGGTTATTTTCTTTTTGTGACCATCAACTTTTATAATTGTAAATTTCTTCTGTTTTTTTTGCAGCTGCTCTTACAGACAACTTGACACTTTCCACAATCAAATATATTCATTTTTAAATAAATAAACTAATAATAAATTCACTTTTAATCACAGCAGTCTTTCAGAGTACTGCATGCAGCTTTGAGTTTATAAGTTAATGAGTGTTTACTTTTATAAGTGTGTAATTAGAAAGTGTTTGAAATACAAATCTGTTTAAATTTCTAATAATTAAACACAAATTGTGTTTTATTTTGTTCCCGTTGGAAAATCAATATACGTCTGTTTAATTTGACTTGTTTGATTTTAGAACTACAATTTTATAAAGATCTGTAATGTTTGATACAAAAGTGTTTGAAAGTCAATCATTTCTATGCATAAGTGTTTGAAACTCAAATGCTTTTCCAATTGTGTTTGATAAGTCAAACATTTTTTCTACTTTAATGTTTATAATTTAAATACTTATGATGAACCTATTTTTAGAGTGATAAACTATGTTTTTACCATGTTTTTCTGGACGCACTATTTTCAGTCTCTCCTGGCGTATAAAATGAATAATAAAGGCGTTCGATGGACATTCAACTTTGTGCAATATTCTCTCGAGAAGAGAGCTTCTCTCTTCTACTTTGATAGAAAAACGAATAAAATTTTCCGGCATGTTAATGAGTTCGCTCACCGTCGGCGTTTTAATTTAATATTAGCTGTTTTCTCTCGATTTTTATACTATAGCGCGCCGTTTTTCTGCGCTGCAGCTTAATTCTGTTTCCTCAAATACGATGATAATCTCAAGGCGTGTAGAAATTTAATCGCGCGGTCCTCGCGGACATTGGGTAATTGCTGCGCTTGCTTTTTATGCGAGATAAATGCGATTGAAAGATCCTCTTTCGTGAAACCGCCGTTATATCCTCGTGTTAAATCTTTAATCAAAGTCGCAAAGACGGCGGCGGCGGCGGCGTCATCTTCTTTTCCGCTGAAGCCCATATTCACGAAGGGGGATTCAAAGCTTCGTTCCTTCGAGGCTTTCGGTGAGCTCGAAGGAAATGGGTTTGCTAACCCACGCCGGCAAGACGTCTGCGGCGACTGAATACAAGCTTCGTACGTATTATATAGATATATATATGAAATGATCGAGTTCCTTTGCGGCTTCTGGGATTCCTTTCCACAGACGGGTGTCGAGTTCACCCGTCCATCCGGCGCTCCAGAAACCAGAGCGACATTCAGAATATTCTCTTCGCGAAACCTCGCAGCAGTTATTCCACATTGTCGAAGCTGATAATTTTGCGAGTGCACTCGCCTTCTTACGTCATGAAAGAAAATCGTGTAAAAATATTTTACCGATACGATGGATTCACTTCGTGATCGTTCGCTTTCCACGTTCCCGACGTGTCCTTCAATACGAAGAGCAAAATTGAACATTGTATTTTTACTTTGAACCGCACGAAGGACCATAATAATGATTTCCTCGCTTGAGAGTGCTCAATTGAATTTTAGGAGAATAATCGATTGTGATTGGTCAATTCTTGCGATTCTCCAAAAGCTGTTTCGATTTTTATGTCTATGGCTCAAGTAGTTGTATTTATAATGCGCCGCCGCGAGTGCGCGCGCACGCGTCGTGCGCCCGCTCCCTTCGACTTGCGGAGTGCAAGCTACGCAATTGTACGCAATTTCACATTTCGCCGAAGACTGCAGACTCGTTTCCATAGAATTTGTGCATCGCGCGCGGAATATACTCTCGTGGGGTAACGGAACCCGGACCCGGACACACATTTTTTATTGATGTTTAACCGCGGGCTTCGCGGTCTATTACCACCAGTTTTGCAATTTTTAAATTAATTTTTTTGGTTTCCGTGTCTGATCT